AACACGCTAACTATTAGCGGTTCATATTACGATAAATTGGACATGGCACTTGGCAGAGCTTGGTATTTGTTTGGTGTACTTCCTAAAGTATATTAGAGCATGTGCTGGTATCAACAAGAAATTTTGTATGCTAGATTGGGTTTAATACTAAATATATAAAGAACTTTTCTTAGAGCATCGTTACCAACTTAAACTTATAAATTTCTTTTTGTACCACGCCAATCCAAAACTGCATTGTTACTCCTATACCCAGAGCCTCGAATAATAATAAACGTCATAAACTTACTTTAGTTGAAACCGATTATTCTTTTTTGAGTGAATTCCAACATGTTTCTTACCTACTTTTAATTAATATTATTCTTATATTTTTAATAATATTTTAAACTACAACTTTACTCATATATATATTGCAAATACATATAAAAAAATAATAATAATTATATTGGATTATTTATGATTGTAAAGTGTTAATTACTCATCGATATAAAATTTTATTTAAAAAAGTACGAAACATAAAAATTTTGTAATGTTGAAAACTAATATTTGAGTATATCTTTTTCTTACTAAATATCACTCTTGGGAAGTGGGTTCATTCCAAATATGTTCAACCAAGTTGTGTCAAAGTTGATGGTATATTTGTCTGTCTTGCACCTCAACTCTTATTTGTTAGTAACATCGAAATTTGAAGACACCCTTCACGTGTCAGCATTAGTGGTTCTCAATCATCATTAGACTAGTTGGCAACTTTTTTTCCTTTGTCCTTTGTAAAATGATGCACGATAATATAATTTCACGAAGATCTTCTTTGTAATTGTCCACCTTGACTGAAGGACTCCAAAAGCAAGCTCAACATCTTTTCTTGCAGTCTCTTTCCTTTGTTTGAATTTCTTCATTAATGGATCCTACGAACATTGGAAGCTTTTGAAAAATGTAGTCCACTTTGGATAGATACTATCTGTTAAGTAGTATCCTTTCGTGTATTGAGTCTCGTTCACTACAAAATTGACATCTGGAGCTATACCATGTAAAATATCATTAAATATTGATGATTCATGTAGTACATTTATATCATTCCGTAATCCCTCGAGTCTAAATGGGTGTCAAATCTGTAAGCTTTGTGAGACACTGCTTCAAGCATAATCATGTGTGCCCCATGATCCCGTAGAGTGATGAGCCTTGCCATCCAACTAGACAACTCTTCCACTCCTAGAGATACAATCTAGACTTCCCAACATGTCAAGGAAACCATGTTTCTCCTCGTGTAATGTAAAATATTCTTTGGATGCCATTAACATTAGACAACGCAAATATTAGGGTGCATATATTTTTCATCTTACACGGCATAACTCGAGCATACTTCGATTTGTCATCTGCTTTGACATATGAGGTATTCATCACATTGATTGGTAGGAGCTCTCTACGATAATTAACGTAGAGTTGTAGTACACAATTGAATTGGTGTAAAACCTAGTCTTCATTCCGCATTAGTTCTGTACTTAAGATAATCAGAGTAACCTTGGACATCATGAACAGTCCGACAAAATAATCGTCTAGAGATTCATAATTTAAGACAAAAGTGGCTTTTGTGATATACGAGACCGGCAACGAAATATTTTCTTTATTAGTAAGGCATGCCCAGCTTCGCGATTTCGAGGCACTTTTCATCTTTCACGCTAAGTTGAACTTTTATTTTACTAGACTAACTGTAATTTGCATAACTATGACCTCCATCAAGGCAAATTAAGGTCAAGCGTATCGTTTAAGAAAGTACGATATGAAATTTTATTATTATTACGTCTAGCCATTTTAGGGAAGAGAACAAAGAATCAACAAGGAATTGAAAGAGGGTTTTTNGCATAATTAATGACACTATACTATTTATCCTGAGATAGTGATGTTAGTTCACTAACATTATAATCGGTGGACAATGGAATTGTGTAGTAGGTTATATTGTAGATTGTGCCGTAGTGGTGTGGTAGGTGGCAAGTGTGTAGTAGGTAATAAATTAACTATAGTTAGTGAGTCAGTAATTTAAACAAGTACTCGATTATGTGCACATGTACATATGCCAATAAAACTTTTTTGTGTGTATATAATATTTAAAATCATAAGTAGATAATGAACCTATCACATTTTATAATTTTTATTAGTAAAAGTAAATAATATAAATATAAATTATTTAACTTATATATAAATCACTATGACGTCCATCAAGGCACATAAACTTGCTCTAAAGAATCGTCTAAAGAATCGTCAAGCATACGTTTAAGAAAGCAAATAATGAAACTTTATCATTATTACATCTAGACATTTTAGAGAAATATAATATATTTATATTTGTAAAAATTGACAAGAAATGAGAACGAAGAATCAACAAGGAATTAAAAGTGTTTTTTATGTGGTTGTATAATTGGCGATACTATACTATTTATATTTATAGTGATATAGAGGTGTTAGTTCATTAAATTTGTAGTAGATGGGGAATGGAATTGTATAGTACATTAGAATATAGATTGTGTCACATTGGTTTGATATGTGACAAGTGTGTAGTGGGTAATAAATTAAATATGGTCAGTGAACCACATTAGCAAGAAATGAGAACGAAGAATCAACAATGAACTGAAAAAGATTTTTTATGTGATTGTATAATTATTGATACTATACTATTTATAGTGAGATAGTGGTGTTTTTTCACTAACTTTGTAGTAGGTGAGGAATGGAATTGTGTAATAAGCCTAGATTGTGTCGTAGTGGTGTGATGCTATATTAATGTGGTAGGTGACAAGTGTGTAGTGAGAAATAAATTAATTGTGGTTAGTGAACCAATAATTTAAACTAGTACTCGATTAGTAAAAGTAAATAATATAAATATAAATTATTTAACATACATATAAATCACTATGATCTCCATCAAAACAAAATAAACATGCTCTAAAAAATCGTCAACCATATCGTTTAAGAAAGCACAATATGAAACTTCGTCATTATCACGGCTAACCATTTTAGAGAAGTATAATATATTTATATTTGTAAAGGAATTGAAAGAGTTTTTTGTGGTTGTATAATTGGTGATATTATACTATTTATAGTGGTTTAGTGGTGTTACTTCATTAACTTTGTAGTAACTCAGAAATGGAATTGTGTAGCATGCCAGATTGTAGATTGTACTGTGGTGGTGTGATAGGTGATAAGTGCCATGTGGGTATCAATTAAATATGATCAGTAAACCACATTGGCCAGAAATCAAACATATAATCAACAATGAATTGAACAAGTTTTTATGTTGTGGGTAATAAATTAAATATGATCACTAAACCACATTGGCCAGAAATGAAACATATTATCAACAATGAATTTGAACAAGTTTTTATGTGGTTGTATAGTTACTGGTATTACTATTTATAGTGAGATAGCGGTGTTAGTTCACTCTGCAGTAGGTGGAGAAATTGTGTAGATTGGGTGTTAGTTCACTTTGCAGTAGGTGGAGAAATTGTGTAGATTGTGTCGTGTAGATCGGGTGTTAGTTCACTTTGCAGTAGGTGGAGAAATTGTGTAGATTGTGTCGTAGTAGTGTGGTCGATATATTAATGCGCTAGGTGACAAGTGTATAGTGAAAAATAAATCAATTATAGTTAGTAAACCAATAATTTAAATTAATATTCGATTATATGCGCATATGTAATATTTAAAATTATAAATTATTTCATTGATTAATGTGAGTTATTTTGAATAAAGTTGATTGAATTGAAATTTCAAATTTATAGTTAAGTAACAATTACAATACAATGACTAAAGTTAATGTAATGTCAAAATAGGAGAAATACTTTAGAAAATGATAGGTAGTTAAAAATACGTGGGTGGATAAAAAATGATTAGAATTGATGTTATGTGTGAAGAAGATTGATTAATATTATTTAATTATTAATAATATTGAGAGTTGAGAAGGATTAAAATGATTTGGATCGGTCAAAACCAATTATAATATGTAGCCAATCGCCTCCTAAACCTCCTAAAACCATCCTCACACAACTAATTAACTCGTAAATCGTTTACAGAAGGGCTATAAAATCAATGGGATCTAATGTAAATGCATTACAACGAGATGAAACCATCACAAGGTCCTCTTTTCAATGTGATTGCATAATCACAAAATTGATGTATCATAGTTCCCAGCTCTGCATAAAAAGAAGAATCAGCATTCCAGAAAACCAGAGAACAAGGAACATAATAGTAAAGAAGAGGCAACATAATTTAGATCTCAACTTCAAGTATTTGTCCAGTATTGACGCTGTCATTGTCCCACATTCACTTAATCACAAACTGAGGGAAAAACTCATGAACCGAGAAAAAAAAATCGGAATGGACAAAAAAAACGAGATTACTATAAAAAAAAAAAATGATGAGAGTTAAACCAGCAGAAAAGCAAGCTTTACACTAACATGTGATCATGGCAGATGAAAATGAAGCTAGAGTGGTTGAAAATCAAATATGGAACTTTTGGTCTTCCGATGATTGCCTAATGATTTGTGACACAAAACATGTTGTACAACTACATGCCTCATAGTCAAATCATGTAACATCATAGCTCGGGAAAAAACTAGTAACTCAAACCTGATTTCACTTGGGATTACGAAGGACAATGATCACAGAATCTCCACGGAGAAACATCTTACTAATAAAACGGTCTTTATTAACTGGAAGTGCTTTCTTTTTTCCTTTACCAGTCTTGGGCACCTGCAACAATACTTAACTTAGGAATCAAAGCTATAAACATATGTATGTTATTCAGTATAATGAGTATGATGATTCTGTATAATATATATAAACAATATCCCACAGAATAAACTAACCTCAGTCCACATTTCACGCACATTCTCGAGCACCATGTTGCAGTGGCGGTCAAAAGCTCTCACGTGGCCCAGAAGCTTCTTGTTATTCCGGCAATTGATAAGCACCTAACAGTAAGACCAGGAAATATAACACCACGTAAAAAATTAGAGATAAGGCAACAAAATGACTANCACCAAGACCAGGAAATATAACACCACGTAAAAATTTGAGATAAGGAAACAGAATGACTAGCATAGAAAGGGGAAAAAAAAGAAGTAAAAATGCCAACAGAAAAATGATTGGGACCTTTATGTATAGAACATAGCTGAGTACCTGTGTGTTATTCTTAACACTCATCATCAAGACAGAAAGCGGACCAGTGTTGAATTCCTCTTCCTCATTCTTTCCCTGTAGAAACAGGGCTCCAGTTAATAATACAATTTTGTACTTTAACTACAAGGACATTAACTTGAGAAGAAGACAAAACTAAAGTTGAGGAAAACTTATTTAACTTCCACATATGTTCATGCAGTCCCTAACTTGGGAAACCAAAACATATGGTAATAAAATATATCTGACACCAAATCAGTGCTCATGAGAAAGAAATGGATATGAAAATAAATTTAACCCAACAATTTCTTAAAAACTAAGGAAGATAAACAAACTCCATATAACGTGTGGTTGTCAATGTAAACATCTCCATTTACCATTTACATGTGTAAATCTTTTACCATTCCTTAAACTCAATTTACAAACTTTAGCGGCCCAACTCTTGCATATCATACACCTGAGTTACCCAGCCTCCCACAACTATTTAAAGCAGAGACTACTAAGTGACAACGGCTATATAACAGAAAAACTAGAAACTTGAGATAAAAATAGCCAAAATTAACCTAACTATGGCTAGAAACAAAGAACTACACCAACACTTGTAATTACAAAGGCAATGAATACTAACTTGACAAATTGCAAAACCAAAATAAAGAACAGTGAAATAGGCAGACTACTTACAGGGGCATCCTCTTCCATTGGCCGGCTGCAAACAACAGATAAACACCACAAAAATCAGTAAAGATCCAAAACTTCGAATCCCGAAATAAATTGACAACTAGTGAACTCCAATTTCAAATAACAACGCAAAACAATGCACAAAAAAACTATAGTCGTCATAATGTTGAGTATTCTATCGGCTCACCTCATCTTCGCGCGATCCACAAAAGGTGCAAACTGCAATAGAAGAACCTGAAAAGCCAATTGGGTATTTTGACAGAGGGCAACCAACAGAAAATTAGGGCTACAGAGCTACGTGGATCATGAATAAAATAAAAATGAGATCGAAAATCGGTGGAGACAAGACAAAAAAAAACTCACAAATTTCGAGCAGGGTGTAGGGTTTTGCAGAATCCCGTAATTTTCCCATTCTTTTAATACTGTGCTACGGAAAATATAGTAGGATGTTGTGTGAGGAGGCTAGAATCAAACACCATTTTTGGATTTTATGGGCCAATCGACCCATCACAAATCCTTATACTTTTCAGGCCCAATTATCTATACATGGTGGCCCATATATCTCATTTGTCAATCTATAGGAGGAATTTATAAGAAAGTTATAACCACAACGGGGGACGGGGGATTGGGTTGGGGTGGGTAACTTACGTAAAAAGTAAAATATACTGTAAAGGAAATAAAAAATTAGATATAAAAAATAAAGACACAAAATGACTTGTAAATATATAATAAATAGTTAATATATATTTGTATATCACGCAATTAACTCGGTTGGGGTTGGGCTTGGAATTGGTGATCAGTTTCAGATAATGGTAACAAAACCAGAACCAAATACATAATTATTGATATCAATAAAACCAATTTTGATTTGATTTAATTGGTTAAAGTGAGCCATTTTAAATAAAGTTGATTGAGTGGGGAATTGAGTGATATTTTAAATTTGTGGTTAAATAACATTTAAAATGTTGATTTAATGTAAAAATAGGATAAATACTTTTGAAAATGATAAGGAGTTAAAAATATGTGAGTGAATGAATAGTAAGTAATTAAAGTTAATATTATGTGTGAGGAGTATTGATTGATATTATTTAATTATATTATTAATATTAAAGAGAGTTGAGTAGGATTAAAATTGAGTTTGATTTTGAATTAAAAGATGCAAAACATACTACTTGATCTGTCAAAATTAATTATAATATGTACCCAATCGCCTCCTAAACCTCCTGGCTAAAACTATCCTCGCACAACTATTAACTCGTAAATCGTTTACAGAAGGACTATAAAATTGATGGGAACTAACGTAAATGCATTACAACGAGATGAAACCGTCATAAGGTCCTCTTTTTAATGTGGCTGCATAATCACAAAATGAACGTCTCATAGTTCCCAGCTCTGCATAAAAAGAACAGTAAATCGGTTTTTATCCATTTTAGAATGCAATAGATGGTTTTTAGCCATGTTTTGTAAAAGTGTTAGTTTTTAGCCATTTTGCCATTTAAAAAGACAAATATATATCACTCTCTCTTCTCCCAATCTCTCTCTCATTCATTCACCTCCTCTCTTCCCTCATCTTCTCCTCTCTTTTTTAATCTAATTCTCTCCATTTTCACAAAATTTAGGGAACATTTCGGTGAAATTACGACGACATTTCAGAAATATTCGTTTAAAATGTATGTTTATAATTTATCAAGTTTTCTTTCTTAATGGTCAATTTTCTACACCAATTTTTTTTTTAAAAAAAAATTGAAAATTTATTTCAAAAAATCAATATGTTCAATTTGATCCAAAAATCGTTTCTGGGATCCCAAGCAATTTTTGGAATCGTTCGTTCTGTGATCTTAGAAACTATTTCTCGGATCCCAAAAACAAACGATTTTTGAAATCTCAAAAATCGTTTTTAGAAACCACTCATTTTTTTAGATTCCAGAAATAATTTCTTATTGAATTCCAAAAACCGTTTATGGGATCCCATAAATTGTTTATGGGACACCATTTTGAGATCCCAAACACCATTTTTGGAATATCAATAACTGTTTTTGGGACACCGTTTCAGAGATTTTAGAATCCATTTATGGGATCCCAAAAATCGTTTATGAGATTCCAAAAATGGCAGAAACGTCCCAGATAAAATTTTTTGGATCCCATAAATCACTTATGGTTTTTTTTTATTATATAAGGTATTGATTACCTAAAACAGTTTTCCCAATTTGTGCATAACAAATCTTGGGATGGAAATGTTTATAAAAATGGACAAACAAAGATGAACTTTATGCGTTTGGAGAATTTGTCGTAAGAAGACTTTTTAAATTAAATTTATGACATTGTTTGCGAAAACAAACACACGTGTGACTATCAATTTAACTTCTTGATGGCCAATGAAAATGGAGAGTTGGAAAAATAGAAAATTTATAGTGAATTTAGCTTGCACAATGTGGCCGTTTCAAGTGCCTATTATATATGTTACATTGCAAGCCAAGCCCAAATATTGGATTTAGTAATAATATTGTGCGAGATGACTATAATCCAAATCAATCTCAAATACAGTGCAAAATTCCGCTCGTCGAGATGTTGAAATTAATTTTTCCAACGTACATGAAGTCATGAGCTTGCGGTGAACAACACGTCCAAGCCTCTCGTGCTAATATTTGCAGCACGTACGAGCTTGCCCCGATCTGCATCCGAGTACTTGAGAGGAAAAAATAGTTAGCGATAACCAGTCCAAGTTCAGCACCACCGACAAACTTGAGCCGCTGGTAGGAATCAAAATCAGTATATGAAGGGTGAGTCAAGGCATTCTCAAAAAGCTTCCATGTTCAAGCTACCGGCCACGATCAAAGGAGCTTCTCGATGATGGGTCTTTGAGTGCGGTGGAAAATCTCCTCGGCCTTCTTGAGAATGCCTTGACTCACCATTCATACACCGATTTTGACTCCTACCAGCGGCTCAAGTTTGTGGGTGGTGCTAATCTTAGATTGGCCATGGCCAACCATTTTTTCCTGAAGTACGTGCTGCAAATATTAGCACGGAGAGACTATGTCCACCACAACGTTCTTGGCTCTTTTCTTGTTCCTAGCTTCTTCCGCACCTGCAAATTTTTACCCATCCTTTATTGATAACAACACATGTATGAAATTTTCTACCATAAATTTTAAGTGCAAGAGTCATACTTATTTACACAATCTTTCAAAGAGAGTTGATTTTTCACGTTCTATGTATGAAATTGTACTTGAAAAGAATGTTTATTGCAAATAAATAGATGTGACGGTCTTATAGTAGTTTTTTTCAATCTGTGTAATTTTAGGAGCTCTTGTTTACCTTACTGGTGCCCTATTATCCATGTATAAGATGTTTAGTAAATCGCTCCCCCATTTTTTGGAACTGCAGTTGTTTTCTTTTATTTTAGTTGTTTTGGCTTATTCGGTTCGAATGAGGACCGATGATTGCCTAATAATCTGTGACACAAAACATGTTGTACAACTACATGCCTCACAATGAAATCAGGTAACAGTATAGCTTGGGAAAAAACTGGTAACTCAAACCTGATGTCACTTCGGAATACGAAGGACAATGATCACAGATCCACGGAGAAACATCTTACTAATAAAACGGTCTTTATTAACTGGAAGAGCTTTCTTTTTCCCTTTACCGGTCTTTGGGCCACCTGCAACAATACTTAAATTTAGGAATTGACTATTGGGCCAAAGCTATAATTATATGTATGTTATTCAGTATGATGATTCTGCACACAACATATATAAACAATATCCCACAGAATATACTAACCTCAGTCCACATTTCACGCACATTCTCGAGCACCATGTTGTAGTGGCGGCCAAAAGCTCTCATGTGGCCAAGAAGCTTCTTGTTATTCCTGCAATTGATAAGCACCTAACACCAAGACCAGGAAATATAACACCACGTAAAAATTTGAGATAAGGAAACAGAATGACTAGCATAGAAAGGGGAAAAAAAAGAACTAACAATGCCAACAGAAAAATGATTGGGACCTTTATGTATAGAACATAGCGAGTACCTGTGTGTTATTCTTAACATTCATCATCAAGACAGAAAGCGGACCAGTGTTGAACTCCTCTTCCTCATTCTTTCCCTGTAGAAACAGGCTCCAGTTAAATGATACAATTTTGTACTTTAACTACAAGGACATTAACTTGAGAATAAGACAAAACTGAGGTTGAGGAAAACTTAATTAACTTTAACATATGTTCATGCATCCCTAACTTGGGAAACAGTGCGCACGAGAAAGAAATAGATATGAAAATAAATTCAACCCAATAATTTCTTAAAAACAAGGAAGATGAACAAACTCCATATAGCGTGTGTCACTGTAAACATCTCCATTTACCCTTTACTTGTGTAAATATTTTACCATCTCTTAAGCTCGATTTACAAACTTTAGTGGCCCAACTCTTGCATATCATATACCTGAGTTACTCGGCCTCCCCCCCACAACTATATAAAGCAGAGACTACCAAGTGACAACAGCTCAATGAGCGAGATTAACGGGCAGGCATATAACAGAAAAACTAGACACTTGAAATAAATATAGCCAAAATTAACTTAACTATGGTTGGAAACAAAGAACAACACCACCAACACTTGTAACTACAAAGGCAATGAATACAAACTTGATAAACTGCGAAACCAAAATAAAGAACAGTGAAAATAGCCAGACTACATACAGGGGCATCCTCTTCCATTGGCCGGCTGCAAACAACAAACAAACACCACAAAAATCAGTACAGATCCAAAATTTCGAAATCCCGAAATAAATTGACAACTCGTGAACTCCATTTTCAAATAACCGCGCAAAAAATAAAAAATAAAAATATATAGTCATCATAATGTTGAGTATTCTATCGGCTCACCTCATCTTCGCGCGATCCACAAAAGGTGCAAACTGCACTAAAAGAACCTGAAAAGACAATAGGGTATTTTGACAGAGGGCAAGAAAATTAGGGCTACAGAGCTCCCTGGGACATGAAGAAACTAAAAATGAGATCGAAAATCGGTGGAGATAAGAAAAAGGAAAACTTACAAATTTCGAGCAGGGGTAGGGTTTTGCAGAACAAGAGTATATATCGCTTTCGGATGTGATGTTGTGTGAGGAGACTAGAATTAAACACCAATTTTGGATTTTAAGGACCATTCGACCCATCACATAATCCTATACATTTTAGGCCCAATTATTTATCCATGGTGGCCCATACATCTCATTTGTTAAACTATAGGAGCGATTTATAAGAAAAAAATTCTGGGAGGGATTTATATGAAAAAATTCTAGTTTCCCATTTGATAATTTGTTTGAAATTATGATTGAATAGAAAATATTTTTTAAAAATAAATTTTGTATTTAATCAATATATTTTAAAATTTGAAAAAATAGTTACTTCTCATTGTTCATCATAAAACATTACTCCATTCACTTCAATTACTAATTGCATACCATAAATTGGCAAAATTGGTTGCTACAGGTATACAAAATATGTTTAATTCATCCTTTTGACAATCTTCCATTCGAATTCATAATTTATGTAAATACAAAAAGTAACAATAATTATTAATAATTCAAATTTAATCACGTGGTGATGAACCATTATCAATTCTACCATAACTTTAGAATAGGGCGTTACTATTCACCGCCCCCCCTTTTACTACTCACCACCCTCCTTGGACAATTTTGCCCTTCTCATTTTTTCTAAACATATCAGACAATTTATGAAAAAATACGTGTCCGGCCGCCGGTTCCGGACAGCTTAAAGCTCGTCCGGAACCGGCGTCCGGACGGCTTAAAGACCGTCCGGAACCGGCGTCCGGACGGTTCAAAGACCGTCCGGAAAGCATGGCCGGTCGGACCGGCCGTGTCCGGACAGGCCGGCCGGACGGCAAGAAAGCCGTCCGGAACCGACGGCCGGTCGGAACCGGTCCGTCCGGTTCGGCCGGCCGGCCGGCAATTTTTTTTATTTTATTTTTTATTTTTATTTATTATGTTATTATTCGAAATAATTATGTTATAAATTGGGCTATATTATTATGTTTTAAATTATTATGTTACTTTTTAGACTTGATTATGATATAAATTGGACGTTTATCGTGTTAGGAGTTACAAATTATTATGTTACATGTTGATTATAATATAAATTGGACGTTTATCGTGTTAGGAGTTACAAATTATTATGTTACATGTTTATTATAATATAAATTGGACGTTTAGATATTATCGTGTTACGAGTTAGAAATTATTACATTATATATTAGTTTTAGTTATGTTATAAATTGACGTTAGATAGTATCGTGTTAAGAGTTACAAGTTATTGTGTTACATGTTTATTATAATATAAATTGGACGTTAGATATTATCGTGATCGTGTTATGAGTTACAAATTATATTAATTGAACGTTAGATAATATCATGTTACGAGTTACAAATTATTATGTTACATCGTAGAATTAATTATCTTAATTTAACATGTTCTAAAAATAAAAATATTGTACTATATAGCAGGAGTCATGGGAAGATTTTGGAGGAGATGGTGTTGATTACAGTCTGCGTTTCGATACATCTTCATTCTATAATAGTGCTCAGGAGGCTATTGAAGCTGCAAAACACCAGGCAATGCGAGCAGCGAGTATACAGTTTATGTAGAATCCGATCCGAACACAAAAGTATACAGCTTATGCATCTTGGTACCGTAGAACACTACATTCGTTTAGATTTGACTGATGATTGTCCATTACCGCCTATTCATAACATGTGGTTCCGTTACCGAGATCAATCGGTTGTGGGTTGGGAGCATCAGTACCTATCTAGGTTGCAATTGTGGTATACTGTTCAAACAAAGCATTATTGAATAAAAGAACGATATTATTCAGTTACGGTATGACGCTTCTCATTCAACTTAAGTTCAGCAAATTAAAAAAAAAAAATCATTCAACTTAATGTTTTACAATAATAATTAAAAAAAAAAAACATTCATTACATTATTATTGGGCATTGTCGTAATCAAACTTAAACTTAGCCAGCTGTTCTTCGACTTCCGCCGCCTCCGGACAGTCTGGAACAATCTGCTGCAAGGTCGATGTAATGCCCAAAAGACGGTCCACCCACTAAAAAAATGGAAGAATGAAAACATAAGACTAAAATTTATTAAAAAAAAATTATTGTAATGAATTAACATTATTTAAAATTTAGTAACCAACTTACATAGGCGGTGTTGACACGCGTTGGGACCTCGTCCTCGTCCGGCAGCTCCTCGCCCATGAGAGTCGGATGGGAAACCCGACTGTACCACTGCAGGTAATCCTCAGTCGCCTCCCCGCGATCCTGTGTGGTCTGGGTCAACATACTTGTGTTCACCGTCCCAGACATCGGGAACTGGGTCCAGAGGGATACTGCACCAGCCTCAGAATGCTCAACCTTGTAGTTCCTAGACTCCCAAGCACGTACTGCACTGATTGGCGGGAATATAGGGGGAGGGACAGTTTGGACATACCCCAGCTGACGCAGACACCGCGCAGGCAAGTACGGCTCGACGACATCGCGGTATCGAATCCATCCGCTATAAAGAGTCCTCGGCTCTATCGCATCTGGGCTGGAGCTGTCGTATGGCAACCATTGCACCTGTTCACAATTGCATAAGAGAATTTATAAAAATAATTATGTTATTTTAAATAACGGGTAACTAAATTTAAATAAAATAAATTCACGTACATCGGAGGCAGTGAGTCTGTCGAGGCGCCGACGGATGGCTGTGAGCCGATCGTCTGACCGTGGCGCATTCCCTACGCCCCACGACCGTGATCATGCGAGACAGTCAGGACCGATGGGTAGACGCCCTCGGGATCGGAAATCGGGAAAATACTCATATATCCAAGACTGTAGAAGAGTCAAGCAGCCCGACATCTAGGCAGAGTCCCCTCGGCTGGCAATACCTAGCTGTCTGTACAAGTATGCCAGCGTAGCCGATCCCCATGAGTAACCCTCAATCAAATCCAAGCCGTCGAGCACCTCGTGCAGGAGCTTGGGGGTCACTCTACTACCACTCTTGTCGACCAACAGTGTGGTAGCCAGCATCACCCACAGCCAGGCACCCGCCTCATCCCTAGCCGGCCGGTCTTTCCCCCTGAATGCCCCCGAAATGGCGGCTTCGGACACCGAACCACGCTGCCAGAACGAACTCATGAATTCGCCCTTGGTGACCGAAAGTATCGACATGCAGAGCCCATGGCAGGTGTCCGAATCCGGATCCTCAGCGACCACGACTCCCTCCACTGGAACGCCCAAAATGGCCCGGACGTCGTGCAGCATGATGCTCATCTCACCAAAAGGCATGTGAAACGAGTTAGTATCCGGCTGCCATCGCTCCACAAAAGCAGAAATGAGTGGGGTGTCCAACTGGGTGTGCATGGAGTCGACCAAATGTGACAGCCC